CGAAATGTTTGCTGAATTGTTAACCTGATACTCTTACCTCACTTTCTTTGGTATTTCTATTGCTTTCTTTGGTCAACTCACTTTTACTACTTTTTATTCGGCTCGCACCTCATCTGCGTGCCAACGTGCGAAACGTGTATAAATACCTCACACTTTCATAAAAGCCACAATACATTATTTACTGCAATATAAATATTTTATTACCATGGCAGCAAGTCACAGTAATGGTTAGCCCCAATAGTCTAAGAAATGGTGTACATAAGTACTTAGCAGCCAACTCATCTCGGATTATCCGCCATACCATCAAATGCGCAAACGATTTTTTTTTATTGTCTATTTTTATATTCTCATTATATCAATAAGTATTTGGGTAAGCTTCGCTGTTGCGTAACGAAATGCCGAAAAGTATTGTGGCCGGCCAAACAAAAAAATAAAAAATTGCAATACTCAGCTATCTTAGCCTGAAAACAAAATAATGTAAAGTGTTGTATGACTTTGAAGAGGGAAGAGCTGGGATACTACTATCCATATTATCGATAGTTGAAAACTATCGATGTCGGTTTTAGCGAAACTTCACAATGTATGTTTACGTACATATCTCTACATATTACATACATTTTTTTCATGCAAGAAAATGCACAACACAGGCGGCAAAAAAATTTAAGTCATTGGAATTTTTAGCAGCTATAAGCTTACACCGAGTTAAAGTAAAATTTAATAAGCTATAATACTGCTTACACAAAATTTTTATAGAAATTCGAATTAAAAAGCTTAAAATTTTAATGTAGTTTTGTAGTTTTTTTATGTTTTGTACAACTTTTATAAAAAGTTAGTAAACAAATAAAAAAATAGTCAAAACTGGTAAAAATGTTGTGCTGCTATTATATTGACCAGTACTATATTCGTTTTCTTATAATATGGTAAAATGTTAATAATTTCGGATTTTGACATGCGCCTCCGTATTTGAATCTCAGTTGAACTTTTATAAGTATGAGTTGTCAATTTAAGCGAATATCTTTTGTTTTGTTTGTTTTGTAGTATTAGAAATGTATTATTTTAGTCAATTTCACTTCTTTGCACTTTGAAAAGGACAAAAAAATCCGAATTTAATTTTCCCATATCAAAAATAGATTCATATTTTACCTGTCGCTATTCAAGTGGATGCAAGTGTATAAAATAATATAAGTATATACAATTCAGACAAATGAATTAATAAGTTCNAAAGGACAAAAAAATCCGAATTTAATTTTCCCATATCAAAAATAGATTCAGATTTTACCTGTCGCTATTCAAGTGGATGCAAGTGTATAAAATAATATAAGTATATACAATTCAGACACATGAATTAATAAGTTTATTTTATTATTATAAGAAGTTCTTTTTGATGCACTTAAATTTAAAAATATATATATAATCTCTTTAATTTTCAAAGTATTTTATAAATTTGTTTATTGTTTGATTTTCAAGCAATCATTTCGAGTAGCGGTACTATCGATAGTATCCCAGCTCTAGAAGACGGTAAATGACTATGATGAAAGAAAAAATTAAAAGGGAAGGCATAGCATGATAACCGATGTGAAATTGACCTCACGCAGGACCCTCTGGTATAAAATTTACCACCACTTGCCTTCTGCGCTGGGTCAGAATGTTACGCCTTTAATATAAAATGTACAGGAAAAGCTGCTTCCTCTTTGAATTGTACTTGCTGCTGCCCGAGAATATATTCTGGACATAAGCATTTTAGTCGTGGTTTCTCAGTGTTTCATTAGACTAGCGAAATTTATAGTCAAATAGAAAATATGCAGAGACAGCGATAAACTGTTTCCACCCATTCTTGCAATTGAAGCCCAGATTTTCTGCAGAAAAGTCCCGATAAGACAAGTCGAGCTTTGGGCGGGCTGACGGCCATTGGAAACATTGCAGAACTTGCAGTACCATCACTCGCCTCCGTTCGGCCGAATATCTCCAGACCGAGTAGCCTTGGCGCAAGAAGTCGGCTTCAGACTTCAGACTTCTACTTTTGCACCATCCACAGCATATTTGGGTGCCACATGATTCTTTGGATGGAATCTGCGTGGATTGTGGTCCCTTTGGAGATGCAGTTGCAGAAATACTGCCAGCAATTACACACCGCTCTATCAGCAGCGGCAACTAGAGAGTTGTAAAGATACTTTTTTGGAGTTGGTGACACCGGTATTCGACTATATGATCCGAAATCCATAGACAAAAAGCTAAGAAAGTCCACCACAGGAATTCAGAGCGAAATTGTCGCCGCCGAAGATTTTAGCTACCATTTTCTCCGGTTGTATAGGACGCCTTAAACCCTACGGGATTCTCAGAAATTTACCACCAACCCTACAGGTCGGACCAGGCTTCCGTGAATTTGACCTTTTTTAAGTTGTAAGTAGAGTTAAGAGCAGGACAATGATATGAAGGTGATCTTTTGCAGAGAATTCTAAAAAATATTTTTAAATGATCATCGGAGGGTATATTCCACAATTCGATCCATTCAATAATTACCAATGGCGAATCAGCGTTCTTTGAATGTAACTAAACAGGTATTTCGTAAAACGTGGAACCAGTGACCTGGAAGCAACCTATAGATTTACAGTGCTACGATTAAAGCAATCATTAGCTATGCGCAGGGAATCTGTTTACCAAAGTTGAAATAACCAAAACCGTGCAATGCAGAATACCTCTTGAAGAAATCATTGGAAGCTGTTCCCGAAGTGAGCCCATATAATAGTACAGTAAGTCTTACACAATGCGAAATCATCACTGATGGCTCCAGAACTGAAACTAGGTCTGTATCTAGAGCAATTTTGATTTTTCTGTTGGGTAATTGGTCTCACTATTTCAAGCCAAGATATTTGCAATTCCAGAAGCCAGGGACTACGTAATGGAAAGTGGGTGGATACGTACGAGTTTACGTGTCTACAGGAGGGCTGCCAGACATCTCGGTTTTCCAGGATTTGTCCTGGTTTTAGACAAATTGTCGTAGTGTACTGGTCCACACTTATTTCATTTAATTTAATTTATTATTATATTAGTACAATAAGATCCCAAAGATCTTTTTTAGTACAATGGTAACTTAAAATTAAGATAAGATCATGTCAAACAAAGCCTGACAAATAGCATTAGGCAAAATTTACAAATCTACTTATATAAAAGCAAAAGAGGAACAAAATAAATAAATAAAATAAAAAATAAAATAAATAAATAAGTAAATAAATAAATAAAAATTAAAAGAGAAAAACAACGAAATACAATTTTCAATTAGCCTATATCTAAAACATACACATTTACATTTCAGTAGGTATATAGATAGCGAACCTCAGCTGATAATAAGTTAACGAAAATACGAGTACAAAACACTCTTAAAGTTGCTTTTATTTAGACTGTTGCGAATATGTCCTGGAACCGAGTTCCAGGTGCGAATAGCATTGACGAAAAAATAGTCTTGCAGATGCTAGATAATTGTACTTCGGTATAATTAGGTCAGTAAGGCGTGCAGACTTTGAGAAGGATAACCTAGAATCTTCATCCATCATTAGGCGAAATAAAAAAATACAATTTCCTGCTTTTAAGTATTCAGAGATACTGCAGCCCATTAGTCGTGATTTCTAATCGGATATTCGCTCAAATTTCGATAGCATAAAAACATATCGAGTAACATGATTGAATACTACATCAATTTTATAAGAAGATTGAGAATCCAGGCTGTTGTAGAGTTCAGAATAGCAGGAAATCGGCAATATTAATTGAATGGCCAGTTTACGTCTACCGATTAATGGTGTAAAAGTAGCAGACATTGTTAAATTTCTTAAAGTAGAGTAGACTTTGCCTATGACAGAGTTAACATGATCAGTGCATGTTAGGTTAGCTTTTATAACAAACCCGAGATTAGTCACTTTTGAAAAAAATTTAAGAGACTCATCACCAATGTATAAGGACTAGGAATGTTAATCCCGGGATCCCGGACTTTTTGAGGTCTCGAAAATCCCGGGATTCATGGCAAGTAATCCCGGAATTTTCGGGATTTGTAATTTGCACTGATAGCAATAATAGAAACTCCTTTTCTTGACCAGTATTGGCTATATTTCTTTTTTTATTTAATAATTAATATTTTTTTATAAATCTTTAGCTGATTATACATATAACACCGCGCGATTGTACATTTTATACACAAATATCAATATATTCGCGAAACCATGGGCCAAATAAAGTAAAACTGTGTTTTTAGTTTTTCACACTGACGTCAGTAATTCAAAAGTGATTTAAAAAATTCGGAGAAATGTGCTTAGAGAAGAAGTATGGGTATGAAATTAATGAGGAAAGCCTGTAGAATTTAAACAGATTCAAGTTTCAGGTGCAGAAGGGCTGGTAAATATTGAAAATGTCATTTTAAAACTTTATCCTTGAAATTTCGCAATATTTGTTTTTGACAAAATTATATGTTAAGGGCTTATATAAACTCGATAACATCCTCGAATTACGTTCTTCTAACTTAGGCAGCCTAAAAATTACCTGTGCGTCCTTGTGAATCCAAAAAATTTAAATTTTTTATATTCTAAAGAAATATCCTATTGCATTTGCTGCCCATATTTTTATTCTACATTGCATTGAAATTATTTAATAATTTTTGGAATTAATCATATATTACAAAGTCCTCCAAAATAAATCCTGCGGTCAGAGACAAAAATAAAAACGCCACTTTAAATAAAAAAGTAGGTTTCAAACCCATTTATTTATTATTTATTTCATGGTAAGAAAGCTTCTCAAACAACATAGATAGGTATACAACTTTTGGCCTTAGTGTCGTGACGGTTGAAGCCCTTTGACACCTAAAGAAGTCGGCCACCTGGAATCGATTTGAAGAATGAAAGAAATTGATGCTTTGAATGAGCCCCAAAAACAAGAATACACCTTACATCGCGCTGTGTATCTTCGTTAAATTTGGCTTGGTAGGACGTAGTTTTTGCTTTACTTTCATTACTTACCTTCTTAGTTCAAGCAAACATTTGTAAGCAAAAAAATCGTGACTTCTTCCTTGCAAATTTAATTTATAAAAAAGCTTTCAAATATTTGTGTTAATATTTTGCTTCCACTTGTTTTGTCGATGCGCTATTTTTCTAATATACCCTTCCTTTTCGAAACTTCGCCGTTATATCGGACTCATTTGACAATTTTGGGTGTGTTTGTTGGGTCTGCCACAATTTGGTCACGCGCGCGCCACGCATAAGCCGAATTGAACGCTTTGCATATTTAATTTTTCAGTCAAATACTGGTAATTCCAAGCGAACATGCACAATTTATGTTAGAAAATTTCCAGTTTTGCGGCGCAGGAAAATTGCGGAAAAATGATGGAACGGAAGAAATTCCAATGTGCTTTACGTTATTTATATATTTATTTCTTCTCGAATACTACGTTTCGCAATTTAGTTACGAAAATAACTTTGACTTGGCTGCTTGGAAAATCAAATGTTTTCCGTTCGATTGATTTTACGCTTAACGCGCAGTAGATTTTTGGTATTGTTGTTGTTGTTGTTGGCTTGCAAAAATGTAACTTGTTTTGTGTACAACGCTTTACAATTTTTTCACTTCGCACCTTCATTTATCTTCACTTACGTTTTTATCTTTGTTTTATGTTTCTGTTTTCTTCACACATTTTTAAATCTTTTTTTCACTTTCATTTTCTTTCGCCCACGGCACTTCACATTGTCTGTAGTCTTGCCGTTCGCGACTGTTTACTCCTCGGCTGCACTTTGTCCAATGATCATCGGTTCGCTTTGGTTGTAATTTCAAAACTCTTCATTGGCTGCATTTTCAGGCGTAGCTGTCATGACCATCACCGCATCGACCGACCAACATTGAGCGGCCGGCGAAAGCTTTTCTCCGTTACTATGCTATGCATACACTCTCACTCGCACTCTCCGTTTGCTTTAACGTCTTGTAGTAGCTTTTGACTGCCGCTTAACTGTACAAATTCAATATGAGCCATCCGGCGATGGCTCACGTCTGCCAACTATTCCGGTTTCGGTGAAGCTTTTTGGCCAAGTATGGAAAGGCCAAATTGTAATTTTCAATTCGACTTATTTTTCTTGAGTGATAATCAAAAATATGTTTGGTGCGTACAATTTTGTTAAGTCTTAGGCCAAGCTTCTTCTCCTATTTGTGTTAATTACACGCCACCTCCGAAATCTAAATGTACTTCTTATGAAAAGATTTTTCATGTCAGAAGTACATTCGATGGTGTGTCGTAGGATGTCGTGAGAAAACCGGTGTTAGAAAAACTGTTTCTATTATTATTGCCTGTTGCGCTGGCCAGAGATCGAACGTGGGTCTAACCGTGTGTTAGTATGCACCTCTAACCACTAGCGCTACGTCTGCCAAACGAATGGCACCAAATCAAGTTTTAAGCCGAAATTTATGCAACTGAAANGTTACTATGCTATGCATACACTCTCACTCGCACTCTCCGTTTGCTTTAACGTCTTGTAGTAGCTTTTGACTGCCGCTTAACTGTACAAATTCAATATGAGCCATCCGGCGATGGCTCACGTCTGCCAACTATTCCGGTTTCGGTGAAGCTTTTTGGCCAAGTATGGAAAGGCCAAATTGTAATTTTCAATTCGACTTATTTTTCTTGAGTGATAATCAAAAATATGTTTGGTGCGTACAATTTTGTTAAGTCTTAGGCCAAGCTTCTTCTCCTATTTGTGTTAATTACACGCCACCTCCGAAATCTAAATGTACTTCTTATGAAAAGATTTTTCATGTCAGAAGTACATTCGATGGTGTGTCGTAGGATGTCGTGAGAAGACCGGTGTTAGAAAAACTGTTTCTATTATGTTTGGCTGTTGCGCTGGCCAGTGATCGAACGTGGGTCTAACCGTGTGTTAGTATGCACCGCTAACCACTAGCGCTACGTCTGCCAAACGAATGGCACCAAATCAAGTTTTAAGCCGAAATTTATGCAACTGAAATGCAAGTGAAGACGAAGCGAAGTAAATAAACGTTTGTGGGTTACAAGTGCGCGGTAACCTTTTAGAGAAGTTGAACTAAAAATTTTGTAACACTGAAGTTTTTTAAATGGGCACTTAAATATTGATAACGCGTCGCTAAATGCTCATCAAGGCACATCAACACTTGAATTGTCAATTAGACTGCACCTAAATGAAACCTAAATAATGAGACTCCATTAAAACTTGACAGTTCTCTCAAATGTTTAAATTTCTTTTACTGTGGCCTATGACAATAACGATAGTATTTGCATCCCAACGCATTTTCCGGGCCGAATTGTCTTTCGTTATTATTAATTGATTTTTTTTTTTATCTAGGCACCTTCGTCGAATTTTTATTTGAAATTCTCTGAGTTTGTTACGCTGGTTGCTGCTTCAATGTTCTTTCGAGCACACAGCTAGGCGTCCGTAGAAAGCATCTTGCTTACAGGTGGTGCTACCATCATTTAAAGTGACTCAATAGGTATGTTAGGCTAGCGAAATATGATTTCGTTTAGACAAGTATGAGAAATCGTCTCTAACAGTACGTCCTCATAAGTCCATCGAATGTAGTTTTGTTGGAAATGTTAAACGGACAGTCCTTTCTTGTCGTTGCAATGCAGTTTTTAACCGACTTCACAAAAGGAGAAAGATTATCAATTCGTCGGAATATTTTTTTTTTATGTATGTTACCGCATAACTTTGGACCACGTTAACCGATTTCAAAAATTCTTTCTTTAAAGGAAAGGTGTTACCTCACAGGTGGTTCCATATTAATTTGGTTTGAATCTGATAATCGGATGATAAAGAAATTAACGATAATCCTAAATTTTTATATGAGAATTGAAGTCGGTTTTGTTGTTTGCTTAAAAATTACTTGTTCTAGCTCACTCGTCCACTCCTAAAATGGAAGAAAAGATTTTTATTAGAAAAGGTAAAAGTGTGAATTATGGAAGTGGATTTAACAGGCCGCCTTTATTACATATCAAATACCAAATTTGGCGTCACACTTTCGATTGGCTTCAAATTTGAATTTGCATTTTTCACCTAATCTATTAGAAAATAGCGAACGTTTTAGTGCACTCCATTGCACCAAGCTACGGCAGCATCTCAGCGGTATTGATTAGTTAACTTGCTAAAGGGAGCTGCTTGGAGCAGAAGCGAAATTATTGTGATAAAATGCTGTCAATATAACAATAAAGAAACATTTTGGGAACAAAGAAACATTTGGCATCTACGCATCTTGAATTTTGACGGCTGTCCCAATTTAACACACGGCACTTCATTTTATTAGTTTTTACGCAGTCTTCACAAATTGCAAATTAACACAATTTTAACTATTTTTTTTTCACTTATAATTCAAATTTCTTTGCCGCTGATTTGTAAACATAGGTTATTGTCAAAACCGGCTAAGCCAAAGTAGCGGTACCACTGGGGGCGCCACCTTTGTTCGCTGCACCGTGGTTTGTAAGTAACCAATTCGGTTTCCGTCGTAGAAACAACGGTAAATATTGGCTTATTTTGGGGTAAATTTTGAGCCTTTTAAGTGCTCTAGCAACTAATGATTTGCAGATATAACATTAATTTTCGGGATATATGTAGGTTCTTTGGAGCAATAGAAATATTATTGTGTACAAATTTTATATACATTCGACAAAAGTTGACCATTTTAAGGCAAAAAATTGTTGAAAAAATTAGAAAATCGCTCGAATGATTTTGTTAATCAAAAATTCAAGTTTTTTCCTTTTGTTTGGTATATGGGATGTATTGGTTGATATCTTCTAAGTATGTTTATTTTATTCAATAATATGGGCATAAATGATTTTCCATACAAAATCACTTCGTCATCATTTTGCAAATACGTGAATGCGCTGAAAGTGAGAGAAGGCGGCAAAAAGTGTGTAGGTATTTCGTATTTTGAGTAACAGATGTCGCAATATTTATAACCTAATCGCAGCGTACGCATGTAAATACATACATAGGTACATATGTATGTTGATGATTGCAGGTAATGTGGATCGGTTTGGTTTAAGTATTGGCCTTATCAGTGTGGCTTTAGACCGGGCAAATCCACCATAGACCAGGT